GACAGTTTAGTCCAGGTCCAGAGGTCATTAGCGAGCTGGACTCCAGCGATGGCCCTCCAGCCCATGAAGGCAATGAGAGCAATGTAAACAGCCACCAGGTAGGTGAAGGGACCAGAGAGGTAGGGGTACAGTAGGGTGTAGCTGAAGCCTGAGATGACAGCAATGACCAGACCTGCTCTCAAGTTGAGGGGCTTCATTCCAAAGGCCGAAGAGTAGAGAATGTGGGAGATGGCGAACATAAGCAGTCCTGATAAGGCAAATACAATTTCATTGAGAATATGTCAGTGAAAGCAGGGGTGTCCAATCCCGCTCCTGGAGGGCCACTTTCCTGCGGAGTTTAGCTCCAACACACCTGGTAAATCTTTCGAGTAAATCTGAATACCCTGAATAGCTGGTTCAGATGTGATTAATTAAGGTTATAGCTAAACTTTGCAAGAATGTCTCCAGGACCAGGATTGGACACCCCTGAATGAAAACATATAACATACAGTATATATCTCTTTTACATGATTTAGCAGGAAACATGTTATTCTTGGTAACATAACACTGTTGTTTGTTCTAAAGGAAACATTGCTTGAGTAACTCTGTGGTTCCCAAGGGTATCTTCGGGCAGAATGGTTTGTTCCAACCCTCAACCCTGACCTAAAAAAACTCATTCAACTTCTACACTACTTTCTCCATGCAAGATCTGCAGAATCAGGCATGATAGTTCAGGGTTAGAACATAAAATGTCTTGCTTGATAGTGGTGACTTGCAAAAAAAACACAGGCTGCTGTAAAATCATTTGCTTAAACTCACTGAACCCACATTTGGAAGGGCAATAAAACTTAAATGCAATGTTATATTGATACAAAGCTTCTGATAAACAGAATTATTTGTGTTCTACGGATGACATATCTTTCCCTTCCCAACAACCCACATAGCAAATAACTCTTAATCCTTTTTTAATCAAATCAGAGCAACACAAATGAATGAACTCACCATGACTAAAGTAGCCTTGTTCTTGCCAGATGAGAAATGCGTCACCCAAAGCTGAAAAAATAAGTCCTGCCAGGATTTTCCTGGCACTGGAGTGGGCACCTAAAAAGCTGATGCCATGGGCAAGCAGAAAAACCCAAAGACAGAAGATGGGCAGACATTTGATGAGGGCACTGAACCAGGAGGGGCTTGAGGTGGGTAGCCACAGAACAAAGTAGACGCAAGTGGCTTTGAAGAATGGAACAAGCTTTGGACCCTCGCTCTTGACCTGTAGGACAAAAGAGAGATTGAAGTTGAATTCATGGGAAGTGAAACACACCATCATGTGAGCTGTTCTTGTATTTAACAATTGGAGGAGATAAAAAAAAAAAACACTTAACAAGATGCACTTACAGTAAGTGTAATGTGATCCATGTGTTTTCATCGAAATGTGAGAGACCATGAATAACAACTATGACAATTGCTAAGTCTCAGAAGTATAACAATCCCAAGAAAAATATGTCAAAGTTTAATGTCCCATGAAAATTAAATTTGGGGCCCTTTGTCTTGAGTGCCATCTTTACTACAACAGACAGTGTGGATAGTCACCACCAAACCAAGAAAACCTAAAGGAGGAAGTATTGACTTACACCCCAAACCCATAGGGTCATATGAGTCTATCTGATTACACAACCTCCTTATTACAAAACTAGATGATTCTAGACTAGACTTCAATGGGTCTTCCAGAATTGACACCACATTGAGCAGTAGCTGTCATACTGTTACAACATGTCTAATCTTTTTGCTGGATAGTTTCTAGGGTTGGTTGCAAGGGTGTTGTTGAGTGGTTACTGGGGTGTTTTGGTGGTAGCAAAGTGTTTTCTTAAAGGGGTCATATGATGTGATTTCAATTTTTCCTTTCTCTTTGGAATGTTACAAGCTCTTGGTGCATAAAGAAGATCTGTAAAGTTGCAAAGACTAAAGTCTCAAATCCAAAGAGATATTTTTTATAAAAGTTAAGAGTCAACCACACCTACCTAAAATGGCTCATTCTAACACGCCCCCACATGTCTACGTCACGATGTGGGAAGATTTGCATAACACCGCCCAAATGTTTACGCAAAGAAAGAAGGCGTAACTTTGATTCTCGCTGTAGTATTGTTGTTGCCGTGTGTTTCGGTGTGAAAGCGAAACTACTTTGTTTGGCCTTCCAAAAGAGGATGATATCTGCTTCGTCATGCCTACAGCTGATCTGTGCTGGTTGCTGAGGAAATACATCAACTTTGCGCTGTGGATCGCCGGATCGGCTTTCTCCGTGGACGAAGCGGAGTCCAGCCCGGGATCGTCACATGTGGTTGCCGCAAGCCTCCGCTCACTCAAGCCGCCGGCTCTTTTGGAAGGACACAACTAGAAATCAGTGGTTAAGTTGTATTTACAACATTGTTCCAGAACAGTTCAACCCAAATATTAAGATGTGTGCAGCGCATTTTATGGAGGACTGTTTCCTGATCCTGGTAGAGTAGACTACAATGCTGGCTGTTCTGACTCACAGACTGTAAGTATGTTTTCAATTTAAGGATTTGTCACTGATGATTTAAACGCGAGTTTTGAGTAGTGTAGAGTAGCGCTTGTTGTTTGTAATTTCTCCGATCACAAATGCAGACATGGTTTTATATTAAAAGACAGTATAAGTCATTATAAACCCGTAATTAATTCCCCAATGGATGCAACAATGCCTCGTTTGTAATGGGTTTTATTGGTTTTATCTGGTCGTGCCGGGACAGGGCATCACAGTATGGTAAGAGGCGTAACACACCTCGCTTTTTAGACCTATGAGCTTTGTAAAAATCGATGCGTTTCAGAAAGGTGGGGCATAGAGGAGAAACAATAATGTACAGTATGTGGAAAATAATGTGTTTTTTTAACCTTAAACCGCATAAACACATTTCATTACACCAAATACACAAAACAATGTTCTTTTTAGCAACATCATATGACCCCTTTAAACCAAAGAGCCCACCCCCAAATTATATTATGGTTTCTAGATATGACATGGGTTCCTCCTTCACTGTAAGTCAATTTTTCCCCCCACTTTTCGAAGGAAATTAGCATGTTCATTAGAAGAAGAAGTAATGTCACAAGAGCAACCCCCTAACAGTAAATATAAACAATAATAATACTTGCCTTTTACACATGTAGTCTCTGTACTTATATATTGGAAACACTGCACTCAGCAACAAGGTACACAACATACATGTAATATTACTTATGTAATAGGGACAACTACTAAAATAACCCATATTAATGAAACTATTTAACTTTTCTTGTCCTAATCCCCTTCTTAGTTCATGCCTGTTGGTTAGTCTTGGAATTTGTAGTTCAAGTTTTTGCCCGTGGGGGAAGTGGAAAAAGGCTATTGTTAGCAAGTTAATCCAATTCTGATGTACCCCTCAGTCTGAGAAAGGTCACACTGAAATTCA